AAGCTTCCTCCAATATCACGGAACGCGCGCATCGCTTCAGTCACGCGCGATGAGGCACGGCGACGCGGTCACTGCGCCGCCTGTCACAATCTCCCGTAAGTCCGACCCCCAAGCGGACCCGTCCCCGCGAACCAGCTCCGACCCGCGGCGGTCGTGCCGCTGCCTCACAGCTGCGCGGACGCTGCTATGGCCGGCGAGCACGTCCAGTCAACGAGCGCGCGCCAGCCTGGCGGTCTACGTCTGGACCGCGGCGCCTCGTTTCAGGTGGGATCGGATCCCAGCGTTCCAAAATTCACCCAGTCAGGCGTGCAGGATGTGAATATGAATTCGTTCCACCAGAATCCTGGCTCTCCGGCGGCCCCCGCACGCCGTTCGATGGCGCTCAACCGTTTCCCTTTGACCCTGAACCCAGACATCTTACATGCCTAACCCATCTGCCCACCCGGGTCGTAATAGCGTGACAAAATATTGGCATCCAAGTGGCCGAATACAATGTCGGGCCCGGCTGCTCGGGCGGGCCCACACAGCCAATCACATCCCCAGTCGGTCGTGACGTCACACCCTCAGCCGCTGCAGGATCTTGCCCAGTTTGTCGGCCTTGACTCGAACCGGGTCGCTGGCGGCGGCCGCCAGCGGCGCCACGGCCGCTGCCAGGGCGGCGCCACCGTCGCCGGTCACCGGCCACGCCTGGAGCAGGCAGTCGAGCAGCACGAGCGCCCGCAGTCGCGTGACGTCACTGGGGCGCGCCAGCTGCTGCGTCAGCGCTGCGATGACGTCACACGAGCAGCAGACCGCCAGCCTGCCAGGGTACGGAACGGCAAGTCGAGCATGTGTACACGAGTGCTGGCATCAGTGGTACAGAAGCAGTAAGGCATGTGGAAGTTTCCCTTTTTCTGGTGCGCCAGCGATTTCAGGAGCGATTCCAGGATTCCAGGATGCCATGACAAAACTGGGGTCCACAACCGGACCCCAAACGTAGGGGCCTAGGTCACAGCCACTGCACTCCGAAAGGTCATTCCGAGTAGCATGGCTTCGTTCGCACTACGCCAGAGACGACGTCCACGTTAAAGATCTAAACCCGCATGTTTAACCCAGAAAGGACGCGCATGTATGCATATACGCACGCACGCACGTACGACCGCACGCACACAAACACCAAGCCGCCGAAGTCTGCACAGTCCGACGCACGCGGACGTAACACACACATAGGGGAGTAGTTTCGCAAAAAAAATGGGTTGGGGGAAGGGGCTGAGCGGTGAAGTGTCCCAACTTGACCAAAACATGCAAAAAACAAGTTACTCCCCGGATTGTGCCCATTTTCTTCCCAAAGTTGGGGGGGGGGGGCTGAAGCTCAAGTTGTAGGGGGAGGGGGGGACGGGGGCTGAAACTCCAAACTGAATAGGACACTACACCCCTTGCACACATCAGTGGCCGGCGCAGCACCAGAGCCGCGGCCCGGGCAGTCCGGCCGGCGGCGGCACGAGGCGGCGCGGTAGCGGCGCGCGCGCGGCCGTCGGCTTACCTGTTCGCCAGCGCGATGGCGGCGCCCAGGGTGCGGACGGGGCCGTGCTCCGGCCGGCAGAACTCCCAGACATCCTGCGCCTCGCGCGAGGCGGCCGGCCTGCCGCAAACGCAGCCGTGAGAGCGGCGCGCCGGCGGCGAACGCGACGCAGCCACGCCGACGGCGCGCCCGGCAGCATGGCGACAATGCACTGAGATACATGCCACCAGCGGAACGCCGAGACGCACAGCAGAGGCGAACACCAGCTGACGCCGTGGCACCGAACAGTGCAAGACGCAGCGACTTGCCCGGCGAGGAAGCTCAACGAAACTTCTCAAAACGTGTTCCAGGAATGCCAGAACACCGAAGCGTGGTTGCCCTAACCTTGGTTGCCCCGTAAGCTTCGACCCACACATTCCTACAAATATGAGCCTGTTCCAAGCCTACTAGTAGCAGCTACTCAGCCGCCAAAGTGGCACGGCAGTCCCATTCGCAGCCGCAGAGAAGTCACCAATGGGCTTCGAACTCGAATGGCTACCGGTCACAGAACCGCGTTGTTTGGACGTTCGAATAGTTACCACCGGAGGATTCGAAACAGGACATGTCTTGCTGCTGACCTCCATACTGCACGCAACTAATACCACATGCCAAGATGAAAGGCATTATAACAGGCATTACGCATGCAGGTATTACACGTATCATATTACAGGCATTACAGGCATCACAGATCATTCAGGTATCAAATGTATTACAAGTATTACAGGAATTACAGACATTGTATCCGTGCCACCAAGGCACTGCAGCCCAGCTGAGCCCATTCTGAGGCCACGGTGATGACATTGCCATCACCGGTGTTAACACCAGACCCCGGAGCGCACCCCAAGCCACCTAACGATGGCCCAGTCCCCCCCCCCCGCTGACTGACCTGGCCGGCGCCTCGTCGGCCGCCTCCATGCCGGCCGCCACGTCCGAGCCGACGCTGACGTCATCGGAGGCCGGCTGCTCGTCGTCAGAGTCCTCCCACAGCCGCCGGCGCGGCCCGGCACGTGACCTGGCCCGGCCCATGTCGGGTGAGTGTCACGGAGGTGTCAGGTGAGTGTCAGGTGAGTGTCAGGACTGTCAGGTGAGTGTCAGGCGAGTATTGGGCGGTGTCAGGTGAGGGTCAATGTGGTGTCAGGCGAATGTCAGGTGAGTGTCAGGGCGGTGTCGGGTGAGCGTCACGCTGTATCATGAATCAGGTGTCAGGTGAGTATCGTGACGGTGTCAGGCGAGTATCAGGGTGGTGACGAGTCGGTGACCGGTCACATGGGGATGTGCGGACGGCGACGCGATGGTTCACAGGTCAGCATCAGACGTCGGGACATTGGCATTGCCGTGTGTCAGGTGTGCTTCAGGATGGTGAGAAGTCACTTCCAGGTCTGTGTGTGTCAGGGTCGTGACAAATCAGTGCCAGCCCTGCGCCTGGTGTCAGGTCTGTGTCACCCAACGTCTGGTGTCAGGTCGGTGTCAGCCCAGCGGCTGGTGTCAGGTCTGTGTCAGCCCAGCGGCTGCCAGGTCGGTGACAGGTCAACATCCGACCGGTGGCGACAGCGGGAGCAGGGACACAATGTGGCGTCACAACAGTGCGTGATGGGGCAATGCTTGACGAAATGTTCCCACAGCACAGCTAACAGGGTGGAGCCTTGCTAGAGCTATGGGCCGTTCACAGTGATGCACAGCGGCGATACCGCACCTCGCGGAGGACGCACTATCCATCAAGACAAATCGGGCCCGGCTATTACACACCAAATGACTGAGCAATACCGTTAGGTCAAAAGCGCCGGCATCACTCGCGGAAATCACATCCCAGCAAAATCTGTCAGTGTGTCATGCGCCAAACGTTAACGCGACAACGCCACACTTCATGACCAGCGTCTCCTTTATAACACTCCCGCCTCAAGATCGGTCCACCACCCAGGCTTTGCGACCGCCGCTTCACGCCGCACCGAAGGCCGTGCCCGCCCCGGCTGCGTACCTCGTGCGGGATGCGGGGCGGGGAGGCGCGGGTCCGGAAGGCGCGCGGCCGGGAGACGCGCGGCCGGCGGCGGCCGCGGCAGGCCGGCCGGTTCGGACGCAGGGCCGACGGCGGGCGGCGAGGGCGGCTCGTACTGGCCGCTGCTGGTGGCGAGCGGGTCGGCCGGCGGCGCGGCCGGGGCGACAGGGCGTCCTCCATCAGCTGCCGCACGCGGGCTGAGAGTCGGACGCCACCTAGTGACAGACACACACCGGTGTCAAAAACAACATGGGGCAATACCTCAGCGGACCACGTCCCCAGGGACCCCACTAAACAACATCAAAGATCGACACGGTCGCAGTGTTTCAACAGACGGAGTAAACCAGGGGTGTCTGCGCGTACCCGGTTGTAAGAAAACCATGTTATCACAGCGAAGCTGCCACCTGGCGCGGCAGCCTCACCAGAGCGGCGCGCCGTGGAGACGCCGAAGCCCTGGTACTGGCCGGACGTGGGCGTGGCCGGCCCGAGGCCGGGCGCCGGCACGCGCGGACCCGCCGCCTCGTCAGCCGACGAGAAGAGCAGCGCCAGCAGCTCCTGACGACGCAGCGCGCGCATCAAGCACCGCCCACTCCCGTCGACGGACACGGCGCTTCACCGAGCGGCGGCTCCTGCTGACAGCCGTGCTATGACGGCTCGTTCCTGACGATACGTTTGAAGCGTCACCGGCCAGCAGCTGGCACGACGAACCGCGCCGCGTACACCACTGACCAGCATCCTGACCGCTCACGCATCGCCAACCAGCAGCTTGTGATGACGCACTTGCCATTCGTTCCGCACGCGCGACGCTCGGTTCGGACAGCGTGGTCGGCCTCGGGCCGAGCCAAGCTTACCTGAGAGGTGGAGCGGACCCACAGCTGCGGCGTCGCACCCAGCACCGGGTCGGCCGGGCCGCACGCCGCGCTGGCCGCCGTGACGTCACCGTCACGTGACCGCAGCAGCCGGCGGAACTCGGGGCCGCCGTAGCGCGCGCAGTACAGCATCAGACGGAGGGTCTGCGAGGTGGCGGTGTGGAATCAGATGGAGGGTCTGCAGCGCGGCAGTGTGGGATCACATGGAGGGTCTGCAGTGTGGTGGTGTGGGATCAGATGGAGGGTCTGCAGTGTGGCAGTGTGGGATCAGTCTGACTGTCTGCAGTGTGGCAGTGTGGGATCAGATGGAGGGTCCACAGTGTGGCAGTGTGGGATCAGGTGGAGGGTCTGCAGTGTGGTGGTGTGGGATCAGATGGAGGGTCTGCAGTGTGGCAGTGTGGGATCAGATGGAGGGTCTGCAGTGTGGCAGTATAACATCTAGCAGAGGCTCTGTCAAACAGTGGTCCGGCGCCTGACTGCGGGTCGAAGCGCAACACTGATACATCCAGTAAAGGGTTTGTGGCTCAACACAGTACAGCACAAGACATGGCACCTCAGAGATTCCAGGCAAAGACTTATCCCAGTTACACACCTTCAGTTTGGCAGTCGGTGAGGACGTGTTCTGCAGACGGACCACCATGAAGTCTACCAACTTTGGTGTCTGGGCAGGCGAGGTGAGGGTCACCTCTGTAACACAATGGGGTCACCACTGGAACAACAGAGGTCATGGCTGCCCAGTCAGTGGCACTGTTTGAATGTGGTCATTGCTGGTGGTTGGCTTAGCACAATACTTCAAAATGTTGATGACACAGCCAGGTCAGAATCAAGTATTACAACCATCACCAAAAGGATATGGCACACCCTAAAAATATAATGATTTCAAAAGAAAATAACAAATCATTTACCAAACCTATAACCTCTTTGAGCACAAACATTTATAGCTTGAGCAACAATGTGTATTGAACAAGTTAACATGGATACCTCTTCACAACTAAGTATTTCTTGTCACAAAACCAGAACAACATTGTGGTGTGCAATCAATAGTTGCATCATCAATAAAATGAGCACATGTTGCAATGATTGTGTTCTAGTATATTGAAACTAGTTGTGTAATCTAACAATAAAGTGCAATTCAGCTCACCTGATATTTTGTGTAGAAGGTACCCAGGTGTTGGACTGGCATCATCTGATGTGGCTCTTATCAAGTCAGGGTACTGAAACAGCACAGAAAGCAGATATCAGCCTCTAAAATAAAATAAAAAACTAGGACAAAAAGCAGTGTACCACCAATTTATCATTCATGCTCAACTCCAGCTTTAGAAGCAAGGTTTCAATCTCTTTAGAAAGTGAGCCAAATCTGGGTAGAAAATGTTTTTTGGCATATTTTGGCCATCAGTTTAGCCATCTTGCCCTGCTCAGCACCCGCACCCCTTCCATAAAGCTACACCCCTGATTCACAGACCATCAGACATGACACAGCCAGTGGAAAGAGCACACAAATCAGAGCTTGAAGGGAGTGTGACCCATGTGCTACCTACCTCATGATTTCCACCACCCATAAGGTAAGGTAAAGTGAAGTCACCCTTTTCATGCTTAAACAGACCATCAGCCCAAATTTGGTAAGCTTTGGTTGGTTGGCTCCATTTACAGCCTAGTAATGACCAACTATTGATTTTGAAGTAAAAGAAATTTAATGAATGACTGATATCACATCATCTCATACATAAGCTGAAGTTTTCCATGCAAATCATATTATGTGCAAGCTGGTCATGTAAGCCCTCCCTCAGCCATGGGGGGACAATGCTGATATCTCAGACACCCAATGTCATTTCATAATGGCATGCCAGCCTGGGAAATTTAGCCAATATGTAATGCCAAGGTCATTCTCCCTCAGAATATTATCTTTTCATGGCATTGACGATCAAAACCAAGTAAAGTAGATAAAGAGCCTCGAAACTGTTTGCAAAATCCGGGGCTTCAAGACTTTCAGGAAGGGCACATTACTGTCAAACCGGTCAAAACCAAGACCATATTTCGATATGAATGGTGGCTAAGCAGATTAGACTACTTACGCAAGACAGGTAGCTGAAAAATATGTGAAGGTCAGCAGCCATTGTGAACAGTTAAACACTCCATCGAAAATAGCCCCACGCTCCCAGACAACCCCCGAATGCACATATCCGGAACTCAAAAGCACTGAAGCGTCGCTATGGCGCAAGGTTTGTCCTGTTTTCAAGGCTCTTGATATATGTGGAACTTTTGCATCTTGTTCACACCTGCTCTCATGCAAGAAACTGCATTATTCTAGTTGTTCAATTGGGCCAAATGTTCCCAACGAGTATGTGATTGGTCGAAAGCAGGAAAACCTTGAGGCGATCAGCATCTCCGTGATCTGGACACCGCCCAATTGGCTCACTTTCGATTATCACTTGCGTTGTTTTGATGGTTGTAGGGCGAGCGTCCGCGGTCGTAGCCTTGTATGGGATACTGCCTGCATAGCGTGGATTCCTCGGTGGTTGGGATGATTCATAGAGACATATCCACGGCCTTGGCGTCTGCGTGGCGTGACACATTTTACAGCTGTGCATGTCTTGGAGAGGGAGTGGCGTGTCCACGCGATGTGGTGTCACCTGTTGGTGTGATTTTCAATAGTGACTTGGAAATGCGTCTTGTCTAGGAAGAAAGGCATGTAGTGGCTTAGGGGATCTTCCTAGGTGCACAATTGACTGCAGCTGTAGGCATCTGAAGACCTGATTAACCTGTGTCTTGCTGAAGTAAGTACTTTCACTCAAGCTTCCTTGGAAGGGTGTTGATTGTTGCTGGGACTGAATGCATTGTGTGTAACAAGAACTGAGGACAACACCCAGCTCTTTTGGGCATTGCTGCTGCTGTGGAGATTGATCAACCAGCTATTATGGATTCTGCAAGAAAGATGTCTGGAGTAAAGCCCCCAAGCAGGCTAGCCAGACCCACAGCTGGGTTGGCAAGACAAAATGGGGATCCACAACATTTCAGCTGTGGTCACCCTGGAGCAGAGGCCCCAAAGAAGCCATCTGACACCCCAAGGAGGCCATCAGATGTCTCAAGAAGGCCATCGGATGCCCCAAGAAAACCATCAGATGCCACTGTATTGACAGCAGATACATCCAGCTTCAGAGTTGGGGACAGAGTCTGGGTGAGCGGAACAAAACCTGGTCAGATTATGTATATTGGGGAGACCCAGTTTGCCCCAGGTGAGTGGGCTGGTGTTGTTCTGGACACCCCTGATGGCAAGAACAATGGCTCAGTGGCAGGTGTCCGTTACTTCATGTGTGAGCAGAACAGGGGTATTTTCTCCAGACTGACCAAGCTGAGCAGGACACCCCTGGGCAGCACTGGAGCTGAAGCAGATGCCGTGGCAGATGGACGCTCTGTCCCTAGCTCCAGAAGGTCCTCAATTGCCATGGGAACACGAGCCACCAATGCATCAATGGTCACAAGCCCCATGGATTCATCAATGATCTCCTCGCCTGGGAGGACCTGGAGCTGGGTGATAAGGTGATTGTCTCCAGCAGCTCTGGCTCCAAGACGGGCCTACTGCGCTACCTCGGCAAGACCGAATTCGCCGAGGGGCAGTGGGCGGGCGTGGAGCTGGAGACGCCCTCGGGTAAGAACGACGGCACCGTGGCCGGTAAGCGCTACTTCTCGTGCCGGCCCAACTACGGCCTGTTCGCGCCTGCCCACAAGATCTCCCGGCCGGCGCGGCGCAGCTCGCAGAAGATGGGCGTGCACGCGCTGCGCCGTTCCACGTCGCGAGAGTCGCTGCAGTCGGTGGCGAGCCAGGCGTCGCGCGTGTCGGCGGCGCGCGCCGCTGCGGCCACGCCACGCGCGCGCGCCGCCGGCGCCGCCGCCGCCTCCACGCACGCACTGCAGCAGGTGCTCAAGGAGAAGGAGGAGCACATCGAGCAGCTTCTGCGCGAGCGCGACATGGAACGCTCGGAGGTGGTGCGCGCCGCCAGCCTGGTGGACGACGGTGAGGTGAAGGTGCTGGCGGCGAAGCGGGAGCGCGAGGAGGCGGCGGCGGAGGCGCCGCCTCAGCGGCTGGCCGAGCTGGAGCAGGCGCACGCGCAGCTGCAGAACACGGCCGAGGACGAGCGCCACCGCGCGGAGGAGCTGCAGTTCTCCGCTGAGGAGGCGGCCATCGTGCGCGCCGAGCTCGAGGCACGCCTGGCCGCCGCGCAGGCGGACGCCGCGCGTCAGGCGGAGCAGCTGCAGGCGGCGCGCGGTCAGGCGGACCTGCTGCGCCTGCAGGCGGCCGGCGGCGACCCGGCGCGCCTGCAGGCCGAGCACCAGGCGCAGCTGGCGGCGGCGCGCGACGAGTTGGCCGCCGGCCGCGCCGAGGCGGAGCGGCTGCGCGCCGAGCTGGCCGAGCAGCAGCGGCTGCTGGACGAGCGCGCCGCAGAGCTGGCGCTCAGCAGCCGCACCGAGCAGGGCTGCACGAGGAGGCAGCGCTGCTGCGCAACGAGCTGGCAGAGCAGCGGCGCCAGCTGGAGCAGCAGAGCGCCGCCGGCGATTCGCGCAGCGAGGAGGCGCGCCGCCTGACGACCGATGCCGCCGCGCTGCAGCAGGCTCTGGCCAAGGCGGACGGCGAGCGCGACGCGGCGAAGGCGGCGCTGGAGGCCGCGCGCCGCTCGGAGCGCGAGCGCGCCGACGAGGTGCGCACGCTGGGCCAAGGAGCGCGACGAGGTGCGCTGGAGGCGGCGCTCGCCGCCGCCGACATCAACGAGAACATGCAGCGCATCATGCTGCGGAGGGAGAGGCGTCGCGCGTGCGGCACGAGGCGGACGACGAGCTGGCCAGCCTGCGGGCGCAGCTGAAGAAGCGCGCCGACGAGCAGGTGCGCTGGCGGCGGCCGCCGACGAGCTGCGTCGGGCGGCGGAGCGCGCCGCGCGCGACCAGGCCGACGTCGAGGCTGAGCGCACGGCGCTGCTGCGCCGCCTGGAGGCGAGCAGCGCCGCGCCGAGGACCTGCAGTTCAACGCCGAGGAGCAGTCGCTGCTGCGCGCCGAGCTGGAGGCGCAGCGGGCCGAGGAGAAACGTCGCGAGCGGGCCGGCGCCGGCCCCCGCCACTGACGGCGCCGAGTTAGCCGAGCTGCGCCAGCGTGGCGACGAGCTGGAGCGTCAGCTGCGCGAGGCGACCGGTCGGCAGCAGCGGCCGAGAGACGCGCCGATCAGCTGCAGACGCAGCTGGACACGTGGCGCCGTGACGGTGAGCTGCTCAAGGAGCGCGTCACGGCACTGAAGGACTTCGCCGACGGCAGGCGGCGGAGGGCGACTCGCTGGCGGCGGAGGAACAAGGCGCTGCTGCAGCGCGTGGAGGAGAGCGCCGCGGCCGGCTCGAGGGACGCCGAGCAGTGGGAGAGAAAGCTGGCCGAGGCGACGACTCGGTTGGCCGCGTCCGCCGAGGCGTGCGAGCGAAGTCGGAAGGCGGAGGCGACGCTGCGGCAGGAGGCGGCCGACAGACAGCTGACGCTGTCAGACCGCGAGCGGCAGCTGGCGGAGCTGGAGGCAGAGCTGGCGGCGCTGCGGGCCGACAAGGAGCGGCTGGCACAGCAGGTGACGGCCAGCGGGACGCGCAGCTAGGGCGGACGGCCGTCGGGCGGAGCTGGAGCGGCTGAGAGCTGAGCTCGACGAGAAGAGCGCCGCCGTCGCCGCGCTGACGGACGGCCGCGCGAGGTCGACGCAAGCTGGCCGAGACTGACGCCGGCTGGAGGAGCGGCGCGCCGAGGCGGAGCGAGTCGCTGACCAGCTGCGACAGCTGCAGCGCAGCTCCGCAGCTGCCGGCGACGAGCGGCGCGCCGAGGCCCAGCTGCCAGCAGGAGGAGCTGTCAACGGCTTCGACAAGAGGTAGAGCTACTGAAGCGGAGCGTGACTCCAGAGAGGAGGATTGCTGCTGTGGTCCGACAGGAGCAGGGTAAGGAACTGGAGAGGCTCAGAAGAGGAACTGTCGTCCAAAGAAGGAGACCAAGCGCCGCGGTCTCGGCAGGAACAGCAGGAGGACTGGAGAAGCTGAAGCTGGAGCTGGAGTCCGTAACGCAAGACGCTACTGCGATTCAACAGCAGCAGAAACGGAAGCTGGAGCGGCTGACGGAGGAATTGGCTTCCAAGGAGGGCAGACGGCGCTGCGTCGAGGCAAAAGTTGGAGAAGGAGCTGGAGCGACTTGAACAGGAGTTGGCCTCCAAGAAACAGGACTCTGCTGCAGTCGGGCAGGAGCAAGAGCAGGAACTGGAACGTCTCAAGCAAAACTGAACTCAACGGAACGAGAAAACGCAGCATTTCGGCGGGAGCAGGAAGCCAAACTGGAGCAGCTGCACGAGGAGCTCGACTCCAGGGACCGGGACGTGGCGGCGGTCCGTCTGGAGCAGCGGAGGAGCTCGAGCGACAGCAGCAGAAGCTAGACGACGCCCGGCGCGAAGCCGAGACCAGTCGGCGCCTGCTGCTGGAGGCGCAGCAGGCGCGCGGCCGGCGCCGGCCGTGCCGCTCACCAACGGCGCCGCCGATGCGCGGCCGGCCACGTCGACTTCCTGAACTCGGTCATCGCCGACCTGCAGGGCAGGAACGACGAGCTGACGCGCCAGGTGCGCCTGCTGGCGGTGGGCGACGAGGACGAGGAGGAGGAGGCGGCGTCGCCGGCGGCGCCCGCGCGGCCGCCGCCGCGGCTGTGGTGCGACATCTGCGAGGAGTTCGACGCCACGACACGGACGAGTGCCCAACGCAGGCGAGCACGCCCGAGGAGCCGCCGCCGAGCCGGCACGGCGGCCGCGCGCGGCGGTGCGCCGCCAGTTTCTGCATGGCCTGCGAGATTGTTCGGCCACAGAGGCCGACCAGTGCGACGCCGGCGAGACTTCTAAGCCGCCGGTCCCGACAGGTGGGCCATCTGTTGTAGGACGTGGGCTGGAGCTCCGCTCCTGAGGTGTGTTTGGGTGGGCCGGAATAGCTGATTCGGAGGCCTACGTGGGTTGGACGGCCGGATGCCGCTGTCATGTTGTCACTGGGCGTATGGCGGAAAGAGATACAACTAACTACACTCGTGGTTCCACGCGGTGGCGTCGCCGTGGCCTGGTGCATTCGTATGCAAACTCGCGAAGCCGTGAATTGCCCTTGAATATGGATAGATGACCTGCGCGTTGTTTTTCGCCTCGGTTAACATGTTTGGAGCCGTCCCGCCGCATGTCCGCGGTCCCTGTTGTACGGAGCGGCCGGCCTTTTGAGGTGGCCTTAGCGGTACTCCGTGGATGTTCTCACAGTTTATCGGAAGTGGTTTCGTTGCACAGCGTGGGTTAGCGTTATATGAGACGTTTTATCGTGTAGACTCTAGTGCTAGTAGCAGCCCAGATTAACTTATCAACGTTATTAATCGCCTAACTGGGGCGGCCTTTCAACGGACGCGCATTGCCTCTGATGCGGTTTGGTAGCATCCGAAATGTGTTGGATGCGGTAAACTCTCGTGCTTGTACAAACAGCCAGGAAGGTCGGGGAGGACGCAGCATGCGACCGGTCTGTCCTCTTGCCCAGGTCACACGAGGTCACACGGCGAGGACGATGTTAACTGTCTGTGATTTAAACTTCCACAAACCGCATTGTGTTGAAAGCGGGTTGAGCATTTCTCCGAAGGTTTGCATGCTGGGCTCCGTTGCAATGGTTCGCTGGGGGTGTCGGATACTCCGTTGTGTGCTGGGACTGGGCTGTCCGCTCTTCCTGTGTGTTCGTCTGCTTGTTTGTTTTCTTCTCTGTCCACAGCCCCCACCGCCTGGTTCTCGCCCCGGTCGCGTTTTTGTCTTTCGCTGTCTATATCCATCCCTTTCAACTCTATAAACAGTTTTCCTCTATCCGCGACAGCTTTCAACTCCATATCCGGTCTTCCTCTATCCGTGACAGCGGTCAACCTCCATCCCTTTCAACTCCATATCCGGTCTCCTCTATCCGCGACAGCGCTCAACTCCATCCTTTCAACTCCATACGCGGTTTTCTCTACCGGCGACAGCGTTCTCATCCAAAGCGTTATCAAAACTGACTGGGAGAGAACATAGACTCGGGTGTCCCCAGACTGGCGCGGTCGGTTGTGGAAGCAATGTTGGACTAGCGTAGCGACCGCTGATTCTATGTTGCGTTACCGTTTACACTAACCACCGAGCGTGTTGCTCTGCACGGCGACGCGGCTGGCCGGCGGCGAACCCGCCACCTGTTGCGCGAGTGTGCGCTCTGCGGAACCGTGGGCAGCGGGCGGATCCCGATCGGACTTGGTCCGCATCCCACGCGGACTGTCGCCTCTTGCTCGGACCTGGTGTGCGCGTGGACGCCCGCGGCTTGTGCGCAGAGGCGTGACGAACGGGCCGCTGTCGCGCCGTTGCACTCGGGCCCGTTGCACTCGGGCGCGCTATCACAGCTTTTCGCCGAGCTGTGGTGGGCCGAGGGCGGCGCCGGGCGACTCGCCCAGGCTTGCTGGTGTTAGCCTCAGCAACTTTGCCACCGCCTGATGATGTCACTGGTCCGGGTCGTGCGCGCGCGCTGCGTCCGTCTGCTTCGCGGCCCCGTGCTGGGCAGCCGAGGAGCCCAGCTACACTGCCGAGTGCCTGTTAGCTAGCGTCGCACCCGCGGCATGGCGCGTTGTTTTACGTCACCACCCTCGACCGAAGCCGGGCGGTATTTTGGTTGTAGCCTCATATGATGACAATACACCGATGCGTTGACTGGGAGTGCTGCGGTGGTGGACGGTGAGTGCTATGCCGCTGGATGTACTGACGGGAGCTGGCGCTGTCTCAGGACAGGAGTCGACCCTGCCGCGAGAAATTTGAAGGCCATTGTTTTGCCAAACGCCCTCGCGAAAAGGGTAGGTGGTCCATGAAGCCGCAATTAGATCGGCTGGATTAGCGAACGGCGGACATGGTCCTAAATCCGGTGACTAGCCCCATAACTCATCGAGGTAAATGCGGATTGTTCAGCATTTCCGTATTCGCACATCGTAGGCTTCGTGTTGGTTTTGCCAGCACCTGGAAAACCTGCTGTTCCAGTGTCGTTAAAAGGTGGTTCTAAAAGCGTCGGCCTTGAACGGCTCGACTCGGATTCCCATGAATCTTTTCCCCATTGCACTTTTCTGGTGAATTCACAAAATGATGCATTAAAAATGATGATCAGAAGACCCAATTGCAGCACCTTTGTTTGGCTTCATGGAAGTCTGCCGTCCAAAAACCAAAGGATGCCATTTTAGTACTTTGTAAACTCAAGTACTTCGTTAACTAATGGCTCTTAGGCCGTTTTGCCTTTGGACGGCAGAATAACCAAGGGGCAAGTAAAGCATAAGCATAGCCAGGGGGCATTAGGGCGCATTTACCCTTTTTACTTTAGATGGCACCCTGACAGATGCAAATCGGCGTGATACCTTTTCAATGAGCTCTGGGTTCCGTTAAAAAATCACGATTGTGCCCCTGCCAATATCAAACATGCTCGGAAGTGCGAAGATCGGGTGCGGTATGCGCTGCTGATAAACAAAAATGCACAATAAACATTCAGCATAAGCGATGCTGATTATATATCCTGAATTTGATTCGTAATTGCAACGAAATGTTCTCATCATGTCCAATTTTTATGAAGTACACTAAATACTGATGAGCATTGGCATAAAATATGAAAATATCAAAAAAATTAAAAGAGTAATTATGACAAGGATTCGTCTGCATATGCTGATACACAAACGATCTCGCGTGCCGTTGTGCGGCGCAATTGCCGCGAATTGGAATGGTGTTGTGGTGGTGCGCAAAAATGCATTATTTTTATGTAAAAGCTTGTTTTGTTTCGTGAATTTATGTTTCAACACCAGAACATCAGAGCAGAAGTGTCAAGAAGACATCACAAGTCCAATCTTCTGAGCTGGGTTGGTAAAATTCAATTCAAACGGACTGCGCCGGTTTGGTGCGCGAAATGTGTCCTGAGAAGCGTGGTCTTTGTTTATGTTGTGGATTGCTCGATGTTGTCCGTTTCCGCCCAGGGTGGAATGCTTTAAGGTTTTCTTTTTCCTGCTTTAGTTGGAATGAGACGTTACTGGGTAGCTATGACATTTGTTATCTTAAGTTCATTGGCTATGTTTGAATGGCAGCTCTTAACATAGAAAATGACATTTTGCTATTAAAAAAATGTGCAAACTGTTGTAAAGGATTTGATTGAAGGTAAATCATATTCCATCAATTGGAACAATTATTTCACTCAGGATTTAACAATGTACCTCATTACAGTGCCATCTGGGATGATCTTTTTGTTTGCTGTCATAGGATCCAGTTTGTAATTGTGCTCTAGAGTTGTTGAGCTGTGGTGTGGACTTTTGAAGTGAAGTTGTCTTATGGGAAAAGTGAGGAGCAGCATTACTTAATCTTGAGGAAACCCGCTTTGCTGATAAACAAATAAGACATGCACATTCCTGTAAAAGTCATGTTTTTTGTGATCACTGGCCATTTGGTTCTATAGTGTAAGTTATCAAATCACAAGTCAGGTAATGCCTTAGTGATACTTTGAAAGACAGGGTTTCACATATCTAAACTTTCTAGCTTTCATGTTTGGCATGGGGTATGATTTCAAATTGAGGGTACATTTTACCATGCAGTGGATTATTTTTATATGTCACATTTTCTCCCTGTCACTAGCAGTGATGGTCCTTAAGAAGCAGTAGAGCAGGCTGAGTGCCACATTTTTTCATGCATTAGCACCAGGCTAAAATTGGTTTGTTATGAGAAAAGGGCATTTGTCCGCTGCTTCTTGCTGCTGTATCTGTCCATCATTGTTAATGAACATATTTGATGCTTGCTTCATTTATTGGTAAATTGCAAATTTTGGTATAAATCTCAGGGTCAGGTTGAAACTATAGTCCGCATTTGCTACTTCTAGGATGAGTGACATGTTTTTGCTCAGCTGAACACTTTGACAGGCAATGAATACAACAAATATTTAAAGCCAATTTATGATGTAGATTTTATCTACCTCATTTTGAAGTTGAGGGTATCTTGTAATAGTGAGTGGCAATGGCTGAGTTGAATTTGGGTGTGAGGAACTTTATTGCATGATTGTTATTATAACTGTGCAAGATGCCATCCAGCCATAACACCAAGTTAAAGTGCTCTCTGACAAGGTCTATAAATCAGTCAATTTTGCAAAGGGCCTGGTGTAATGCATTGTA